AGAGTAGAGAGATGCCAATGAAATAACATTTTCCTCGAGCACAACTATTTCTCCTAATTTTCCCCTAGAAAGAGTCAACTTATATTTTTTAGACTAGAATCCAAGTACACTCTGAAAGACATTTTGTTCACTTATTCCAACAAACAACAATTACTAATATATGCTAATATGTAGACACGTAGAACAGGATTTCCTAAGGGTAGACTATTACAGTAACGTATGAAGATATAACCTTTTTATAGCCATAAATTTTAAATAACAAAACATAGTATAAGAAAGTTGTGCCTCTGAAATAAATGTCAACCACACATTTAAACAAAATTGTAAAACTATTTTATAACAACTAAGCAAGGCTAGAAAAATATGATGATGTACATTAAGTGTCTATACTAACCAAAAGTTTTAATTTACAATTTCTTATTTATGTTAATTTTTACCAAGATTAATGGAATATCATCTCCCCTATGTAATGAAGTGAATTCTCTCAACAGAAAAACGCTAACACCTTCAAATCTCTCAAATAAACAATGAAAGCATATAGCATAAAGGGAAGTATCTGAACAGGGTCAGAAAAAAGTAATTATTACTCTCAATGGGGGGTAGGGTCCTAAATTCCAATAACACACAAATATTGGTTCACTTATTTTAAAACTCTAAGCAAGTTTTATGAGACAGATGTGTGTTCTGACTTTTTTGTTGTTGTTTCATTTGTGTGTGGGTGTGGGTGTGCATATATGCTTAGTTATCCCTATGGGCACTTTTTTTTGGCTACCTAATTAACTCACTTTGCAATGCACTGAATGTTATTTCCTGGAAAAAAGTGTTTATAAAATGAAAATAAAGACTCTGGTAAAGCACACCACACAACAGTTTGTAAGGTAGATGTGCACTTAATATATTTCAAATGACACAAACTAAAAGCAATGCTGTAGGACTCTTTTCTCTGAGTTTCTAACAAATGGCCATAATATACAACTCACTAATTATACCTAACATTCTACCAAATTGCTAATTTTCATAAGCTTTATCTAATCTCTCTCACTGGCTAGCTCCTGTGAAATATATCATCTTCTTGCACACAGATCAGTACCTGTACCAGTTAAATAACATTATTATCTTATCTTGAAAGTAAGCCTTCAAAATATCTAGTCTGTCTTTGAATCAAACGTTGATGGCTGAATTAACTATTCATAAAAAACATTCAGATAATCTACTGCATCACTATTTACACTGAGATAAAAGAGTTTCATCTCAATTGTGTCTTCTTTATTAATCTCAGAGTAAAGAACTCTGAAAGTGTTTGATGAATACAATTAGCTAACAATTAACCAGGCTAAATTAGCTGGCGAACAAAAAAAAAGAAAAGATCAATTTTCCATACTAATTAATATAAGCCACAGCTGTAGCTTAATGATATCTAAAAGAATGCCTTAAGAGACTTTCTTCAATATAAATTCTGTAATACATTCCTGACAAAAATGGCCAGAGCAGTCCAAAGAAAATGATCGGCTATATAAGCCACTGGCGTAAGTTCAACACACACTTCCTGTCTTTAATGCACCCTGCCCATTCTTCCCACAAAGAAAGAGAAACAGGCCTGGCCTGACTTCTTCCCAATGAGCAAGTGAGGCAGTAACAGTTAAACGTTGGGAGCACACAGATCTCAGGTACATTATTTCTCTTTAAATTATGAACTCATCACACGTACAAATGGCTCTGTAAAACGGTCCAGTAAACTGCTACACTATGCCTTAAATTGCTGTCTATTATGTACTTAAAAATATTTACTAGCAATTGGAGGTTAATATGGCAACCATTACCGGGTGGCAATTATTGCTATTAAAAATATATAAATACTGTAATACCATGTGCTACCAAAAACAAATGCTACACAGAAAACACATTAGCAAATTATAAATATTTTCATTAAAGAAAATAAACCATCATGAAAAAAGATGCTTTAAATGTAAATTTAAATATTAAAATTGCAAATTGGGGTGAAAAAAACTCTGTGTGGTATTTTGGCATGTTAAAACATTAAAGGAATCTTCCCCTTCACCTTATTTTCATTTGACAGTCCTCCCTATTTGGTTCTAAGTTTTCAACATACCAAGTTTTCAACATTTACAACTGTCTTCCCTTTCTTGGGGGTAGGGGGACTCTCATAAACCAAAAAGAAATTAGGTCTACACCAAATTACCTTAAAAGCTTCAAATATAAAATGAATGGTCCTCGGCAGAAAATAAGTACATGTATTTTGACTCAGTATTTGACATCATTACCTAATTATCTAGAGTTAGGAAGATTCTAAGCAAATGAAATGTGAATGTGGAACAAGCATCTAAGAATTAGAAATGGCTCCCTCAAGTCAGAGTGCATACTTAAATCTAGGCTAAAGGACATACAATCACTTTCTCCATACTATCTCAATAGAGAAACAAAAAGATACACTGGACATCTGGAAATTATAATGTGTCTTCCCACAAGGGTGAGCTAGCTCACATACCACAGCGACACTGTTATATTTTCCAAAAAAAGCAGAGTTAACACAACTAAATTATAAGTGAGTAGATACACGTCACTCAGAAATGTGATGGATAATGTTCGGAACACAGTTTTGTGTCACAAAGGCACAGCCAGAGATGGATTTAATGCAGTGGCTTCAAATTTCATAGCAGTGAGAGTAACAAACATGTACAGTGACCCCTATCATGTACATATAGTGGCATTTTTCACAGGTTAGGAAAGGGGGATGGAGGCTGAAAGGAAAATGTAGGAAAAAGGACTCCATGCAGTATCAGGAAACAAAGTAAGTAAAGAACTAGAAAAGTCTAAAGGAACCGATTGCTCAACCAACTTTTGCTAAGCCAGGACTAGCTCAAGATAACAGAAAGTGGGTGGGGCACTGCCGCCACTAATCTCTAGTTTACAACTCTGTCTACTCAGTGAGTGTGTAGGTAAGGTCTCTAAAAACAATACTTTTCTGTGCTCAAAAACAAAACTGCAGGCCAAAAAAGGACAAAAAATAAAAAAATGTGTAACACATGCCTACAGTGGCATTATTCAGTACCTAGAGTTCCCACATAAAACATGCTTTATTTTGAAAAGGTGACAATTGCCTCTCCTTTGGAATCAACTATTTCATACAATGTGCTTTAGGCAACATATTTTTAATGTCCTAGGCTGCTGCTATTTACGATTTTCAGGAAATACTCTCAGTTTGGAATCAGAAAAATATAGTCAGCAGTTTAAATGATTTTTACAAAATTTTTAAGCAGTGCCTATCCACCAGGCACAAAGGAATATAAACATTCTATATTTTTTAAATCAACCTAAGCATTTCTTCAATTTAAAGTGGCTACCTAAAAAGTCAACTTCATTTTTAAATCATATTCAAAAGTCAGTTCCTTGGTTTAGGGGAGAAATATCCAGAACATAATCCTTCAGTACGTTAAAATCAAAGTACTGACTTTACAAAGCTTTCTACAAAGAATCTCAAGCATCTTATCTCTGTAACATTATCACTCTTCCTTAAGCTTTTAAAAAGATAAAGAAATCAGCCTACAGATTGGCTGCACTTGTAATAGTCTTTCATTTGTCTACAAAATTCACTGTATATAAATTAGCCACATCCACACAGGCCATTACTAGTCAGCATGATGTATGGTAATTTGGGAGCTCTCAGAGCACTAATATGGGTTGACTTAGTTATTTTAATTACCTGTAAAAGTGTCAATGTGGTCACTGGCTACCAAACAAAAACCATTTTAAATACCCCTTAATCAATATGTTTGCTGATCTATGAAGGTCCCTGAACCTAATACTAAATGACAAGGAGTCAAAAAAGAAGACACAAAAGGAGTTTTAGTCTCACACATCAAAAGATCAAGGGAAAATTATCACAGTAGTGACAGGAAGAATCACAAGTTCTAATTGAATTTTAAGATTAAGTATCTGGATAAAAATGCTGGATGAAAAGGAATTAGCCTCGCGTCACAACTGTGAAGCAGGTATCCTATGTCACTCAACCTTTGTAGGTCAAAATCATCGGCTGATTTCTTTATCCACATAAAAATAAAATTTCACTTCCACTTGCAAAGTTGGCAAGAATTTGTATTTCTCCACTAGTCTCAAAGGGGAAAAAAAGCATCTATGCCACCCATAATTAAATGTAATTAATTACAATTTGAACACTAAATTATTTATCCAGTGTAAACAAGGATTAAGGGGAAATAATGCTTCTATCTACAGCAGGGGTTACAGAAAATAATTTGCAAAATGCATCTTCTCCAAAAGGCAACACCCCACCACCACCCAAAAACTGGGTACACAACTTAAAATAAGTTGAGTTTTTCTTTTAAGGCTAAATTAAATAAACCGTTCAACCAATTTTCCAATTATATTCTACGCCTGAAACATAATTGCCTTACATCTGTTTACAAATCTTGGCTCAATATTTAAACAAATCCGTACTCTCCTGGGCACATAGCTATACATACAGTAACTCACGCACAAAGCACATATTTGAAAGACCACACACTCCAATTATTAGTCTAAACGTCAGGTTTAACAACGCGAATGTTTTCAGAGCTAGGTAATATGACCCAATAAAAAGCAAAGATGGCATTTACCACCAAATGTCACTGCCACCGCCAGGAAAGAGTTGCTGGAGCCCCATACATTTTTAATTTCGATGAATCTAGACACCGTCGTCGGGTGCCAAGCTTCCAGGAGAACAATTGACACCCTAAATGCTTCAAGATTGAGGCAGGGGATGCACATCCAAAGGAAAAGTTGTCAATTATCAAAGAGAGAGGCGAAGGCAGATAAAAGCGATGTTATCCAACCGCCCCGGCTTCTTGCTCTGCGTGTGTGTGTGTGTGTGTGTGTGTGTGTGTGTGTGCGTGTGTGTGTGTGTGCGCGCGCACTCGCTGTTAGGACAGAGAAAACAGTTTTTAAAAGACACAGGAGGAGAGCAAGAAGAAAAAAGCTTTCTCCACCTTCCGTCCGCTGGGTGCAATGGCTTTACGGCTTTGCATAGTAAGCCCGAGAGGCAGGCGGCTGTCCCTGTTTACGATCGCGGCAGCTTCGGGTGCAAGAGTCCTCTACCCACACAATCTCATTCAATCGACTATTTGCGGGCCAAATTGCAGGTGTCATTATGGAATTTAAAAAAAAAAAAAATTCAAAAGGCAGAGGCGGGCGAGCGGCCGATCCGTTCCGGGGACGAAGACAAGCCTTCGGATCGCAGGCGCGGACAGCATCAGGCTTTTAAAAAGCCTTTCCACGTTTCGGGAAGAGGAAGGGGGGGGAAAAAAAGGAAAGAAAGACAAGGGGGGCAAGGGGAGGGAAAGGGGGGTGTGATTGCAACCGAGGGTGGGCGTTCGGAGTGCGCCCCAGCATCCGCAGCTTGCAGACTTCCACATGCAAATTCCACGCCGGGCGCCGCACTCACAAATGATTTTTAAAGAGCCAAATAAACACTGGAGGGGATCCAAGGCGGAGGGAAGAGACGATCCAAAAAAAAA